ATTCATTACTTTCCCATCGGTATTTGCCCATAAGTAAATATAAGTTTGCCCAGTGAAATTGGAACTCGATTCTCTGATTTCCAATTTCAAGACGTTATCCATTACACCACCCTGACATACAAGCTTACAGAAACTGGTTTCCCAAGTGGTCACCTATCTGGATACTGACCATGCCCGACGTTGCTTAAAATCGAGCCCGGTGATCGGGCGTTCTAAGTAAGACGTAAACTACATCCAACAGCAAGGCCTCTCATCAGGAGGTTATGAGGAGCGTGGAACCCCCTATTATTTGCTGGTGTTCCCAGATACATCCTGATCCGGAGTGGAAGCTCCTGTTATGATCCCAGCTATGGTCAAATAAAAACACTATGAAAGGGGGAAAATAGATTTAAATACCATCAATACATTTTTGCAAAAAATTATTACCAGCAATAAAGTTTTGAAGAAAAAATTATTACCAGAAATACGTTATTACATTTTTGAAAAAAGATACCAGCAATAGATTTTTGAATGAAAAAAAAATATTACCAGCAATACATTATTACCAGCAATATGTTTCTGAAGGAAAAATATATTACCAGCAATACATTTTTAAAGGAAAATATTACCAGCAATACATTTTTGAAGGAAAAAATATTACCAGCAATACATTTTCGAAGGAAAAAATATTATCAGCAATACATTTTTGAAGGAAAAAATATTACCAGCAATACATTTTTGAAGGAGAAAATATTATCAGCAATACATTTTTGAAGGAAAAAATATTACCAGCAATACATTTTTGAAGGAAAAAAATATTATCAGCAATACATTTTTGAAGGAAAAAAATATTATCAGCAAACATTTTTGAAGGAAAAAATATTATCAACAATACATTTTTGGAGGAAAAAATATTATCAGCAATACATTTTTGAAGGAAAAAAATATTATCAGCAAACATTTTTGAAGGAAAAATATTATCAGCAATACATTTTTGAAAGAAAAAAATATCATCTGCAATATATTTTTGAAGGAAAAAATATTATCAGCAATACATTTTTGAAGGAAAAAATATTATCTGCAATACATTTTTGAAGAAAATTGAAGGAAAAAATATTACCATCAATATATTATTACATTTTTGAAAAAAGTTACCGGCAATAGATTTTTGAAGGAAAAAATTATTACTAACAATACATTATTACCAGCAATGTTTCTAAAAAAAAAATATTACCAGGAATTGATTTTTGAAGAAAAAAATATTACCAGTAATAAATTTTTGAAGAAAATTGAAGGGAAAAATCTTATCAGCATTAAATAAACTCTTTAGGTTGATATGACGTAAAACAAAACAAAACAAAACTAGTGATCGGACGAGAAAATGTGTTTCAACGTAACATGGCTGTAAACAGTCGACATTTATATTCCATTACACTTTTCATGAAGCTTATTGTCAATGAACGTCACCATCAAGGCAGTTGTTGATTAAATTTATATTTTACCGTTCAAAAAGATGCAATTATAGATTTAGAAGAAATTACAGTGTCCAGGAAAACTAGATAAAATGGCTGCAAAAAAGAATGAGATATTCTGTTGATTTCTCATTTTGTTTTTTTTTTGTTTGTTTGTTTTTCCTTTGTTAATCGTGTCTCTTTTTACATTGTTCGATCTGTTGTCCTCATCTTTGTTGCCATATTCACGGCGTTTCGGCCGTTTTACGCTCCAGTCTACTTCAGGTGATTTACGAAGACGAAAATCTTTAGAAAGTTCTTTTATCGCTAGACCAGCCATGGTGAATTTACGTTGAGGTACTTACAAAGTTTCACTTTCTTGACACATCTTCTATTTGATCAAAAAAGAAAAAGAAATGAAATGAAATCGGTTAGGATATATAACCAAAACATTAAAAAAAAAAATTTATAATTCACAGCATTTTTGTGCGCGTGTGTTGTCGCATCAACGTAAAAATCAATTTATTCCGATGGATTCTTTAAACTCTTTTTCACTAAAATTGTTCTTGATATACAGAGGGCCTCTATTTACATTATTCGGACTATGAGCCTCATCTTTGTCGCCATATTTATCACAACGTTTCGGCCGTTGTACGCGCCGGCCTTCATCATGTGATTGGAATGTCGAACTGAACCCTTTATTTCGCTCACTGGGGTAGACTGTTCTAGTTCCATGTGCCACGTTTAATGGATGTCAGTTGTCAGTTGCCACATGGCACAGTGGATAAATATGGCGACAAAGATTGAGGACAATAGTGCAAATAACGTAAATAGTGTACATAATACCTCATCTCAGGAATATAGACAGATACAGAGGGCCTCATAATGATGGGGCACATTCTAAATGCAAATATGCTTGATTCACTTACGTGCTAATACCCTTGGGAAAGGCATGAATCCTTTTCTTCTCCCAGCTATGGGTAAATAGCAGGACACACTCTTAGATGTCAAGTGGTCTACTGCAGAAAGAAATGGCAACCTACTGCCTACCGAAAATCTGCCTTGTCAGTCATGTATCGAAGGATACATGATCGCCTAAGTGTTTATCACTCATGGCATATAGCTGATCTTTGATTATAATAGACATTTACTTGCCCCCTCCCCCACTGAATCAGGTTGTGACACAAGGTCAGTTTTTAACTTGGGGACCCGAATGCTTTCACTCGGGCCGCTGATCCAAGCTGGTCTTAGCTGGCCATAGCTTGTCCAAGCTAGTCATAGCTGGTCTTGGCTTGCCATAGCTGGTTCAAGCTGGTCAGAGCCGGTCCAAACTAGTTGTAGCCGTGATACCACCAGCACAGGGACGGATCCCTGGGCTATGTAAGTATATAAATAATGTAACTGATATACACTACGAAATGGACAATGTCAGACAATTTTGATATATTTTATTGTTATACGTTATTTATATAGACCCAAAAATTTAAGTAAATGCTCTATTTATAATAAAAAGTATTAACAATATTTACCGGCCTGAACGAAAAAAATTTATAGAAACTCTTGGGGTTCAATCACTTGATCCAACCAACGCTTTTACCCAGCGATTAATTTATTCTTGTGGACATCAGTGTATTAATTGTTTTTAATATGTTTGAGCTCTGGTAAAGAATGACTAAGAATGACTATTTGTACACTAATGTCCTCAAGGACAGGTGGCCCAGTGTATAAAAGCGTTGGTTGTGAGTTCAACACCCGGTTACTGCAGTGATGAACAAAAACTTGGGGAGGTGAGTTAAATGGAAAATATCTGAGACATCCGGAAGAGGCACGGCACACGGAACTAGAAAAATCTTCCCCGATGGACGAAATTCTAATCACATGAATAAGGCCGCAGCGTACAACGTTCGAAACATACTGAATATGGCAACAAAAATGAGGACAACAGTCAGAACAATGCAACATTACAATAATCTCATCTCAGAAATATTGACAGATCCTGAAGAGGGCCGGAGCGCATAACAGCCGAAACATTGTGAATATGGAAACAATGATGAGGACAAGAGACCGAACAATATAAACAGTATTAATAACTGTTGTGGTAGGATGCACCTAATTTGCATAGTGGAGTACCGACCATATAAATATGGTTGGTACCGGGAAGACGAGGGGGAGGAATCAAGAGATTCAATCCAGAGACTCTGCCCGACTGCAACTCAGTCAACACATTCTCCAGGAACGGTCTTACCAGGAATATACAAAAGACTATATGTAAATATTGTGTACACTTTCTTGTTTCAATACATTTTGTTCTAAGTACATTTTGTGTTGTATTATTATTCCATGCATTAGTCAAGTTTCAACAAATACCTCATCTGAGATATATAGACAGATCTTGAAGAAGGCCGGAGCGTACAACAACCAAATCATTGTGAATATGACAATAAAGTTGAGGACAACAGTGTGAGCAATATAAATAGCTACAATACCTCAACTCAGATATATAGACAGATCCTGAAGGCCGGAGCGTACAACGACCGAAACATTGTGAATATGACAATAAAGTTGAGAAAAATAGTGCGAACAATATAAATAGTTATAATACCTCATCTCAGAAATATAGACAGATATGAGATCTTCATTCGTCGCTTTTCTTCTTTCTATCCGCAAATTTTCACCCCTGGTTAAAACTATATTTGGTTTACTCCATCATATGTGTAATGTTTAGGGGTTTTTCTAGAACTAATTAAAAACTCCCCTGCTGGGTTATTTTGTATGTACTCTGAAAATCGGGTCCAAAAATTTGGAATCCAGCAGACATGTTGATGGTACATACGGTTCGGTAATATCCGCATCTGACGCGAGAATATCGTTCAATAACGAGACTTGGAGCGAGAACGGAACGATACGCTGGAAGGGGTCTCTTCTTAGCGTCAAATCATGAACTGTTGACTCAGTATGGTGCAATATTATCGTCATTATTGTAACTTACAGCAATTCATGAATAGAATATTTAAATCGATAGAATCTAATACGAGTGGGTTTTTTTTGGTATCTCATTATATCTTCATAGCTATCATTTCTTTTGTAGATCTTTTTACAACATTTCAGATGTTTGGGGAACGTCAAGTGACAACAAATCAATATACCTTAATTCCCCATGTATAATACGCCTTCATCCATAATACACACACCTAAAATAGTGCTGAAAGTGGGGAAAGATGCTTCTACTCATGAATAATACGCACCTCTTGTTTGGTAATCAAACCCTATAAATTGTTACCTCTCCACTTTAATTACGGCCAGCGTTTCCTACTCTTATTTTTTTTAAAATGGTTTTAAACAGAGAATAATATTATTCTAATTTAGCTTTATGATAATTCATATTTTATTTTACGGCATTTTCTTAAAGATATTTTGTAGCTTTGCATAATACGCACATCTGATTTTGCTTATTATTTTTTAGAAAAGGTGCATATTAATACATGGGAAATTACGGTATTAAAAAACAGTATGTAATTTCAGGATAGAGAGGGTAGAAATAAAACAAACGCCAGTCATAATTTTACATACACGTGTGAAAAGTTCAGATAGATACATAGATAGATAGATAGATAGATAGATAGATAGATAGATAGATAACGAGCATACCGAGATAGATAGATAGATAGATAGATAGATAGATAGATAGATAGCATACCGACATAGATAGATAGATAGATAGATAGATAGATAGATAGATAGATAACGAGTATATCGAGATAATGAGCATAGATAGATAGATAGATAGATAGATAACGACTATATCGAGATAATGAGCATACCGAGATAGATAGATAGATAGATAAATAGATAGATAGATAGATAACGAGCATATCGAGATACATAGATAGATAGATAGATAGATAGATAGATAGATAGATAGATAATGAGCGTGCCGTATACACATCATTGGCTGCAGACTGTCTTTTTTTCCGTTTTCCCCAAGACTTATTTCGCTCTGCATTGTTGTAAACAATCCCCATTCCATCTCATGTGGTCGTTCTTTCAACAAAAATTTAGCTGATTTGTTCCGTTTGATCAGACAATCGCAAATAGAAATGTGGTCCATTAAATATTTTTCCGTTAAATTATAAGACACCAAAACATGTATCGAACTCTTTTCAAATGGCTTACATCGCTTATATGAGACATGGGGAGTATCTCTGCGATATCCCGTGTCGTGTATCATGGATTATTTTTAGTCAGCGTTTTGATTTTTGATTTGCTCATCGTTAACACCTGCGGGGTTTCCTGAATCTAGCTTATCAATTGCAAACTGTACTTTCAGCTATAGAACCATCTCTATGAACGGCACTTACTTGTTTTACTATTTTGCCCAGCTATTTTTCTTTTCCTTTTTTTTTTTCTTTCTTTTGGTTTAAAATCCACTCACATAGTGAGGGGCTTTGATAAACGTAACACATAATCTTTCAGATAAGACCCAGTTAGATATCCATTCCGATCATACGGTCTCCGGTTGAGGGCTCTGATATGTATTTCGATCTGATGCAAAACACCATGATTGTCATTTCTTTCAGCTAGAAAACAGTCTTCACAACATCAGGCCATCTAGGAATTTCAACTGTAAAATGACGAGACCTGGCTGCCAATCTATTACTGTTTTTAAGCATTTCAACCCAAGCAAGGCAATAAAGCCACTAAGAAGCATGGGGGTGACTGAATGTTAGAGAATATAAAGCAAAAACTACTACTAAGTAGAGAGATCAAAGTTGACTGGGAAACAAAAAGCCGGAAGAGCCTTCCACAAGCGAGAAGTGCGATCGAAGAAACTGTTAGCATAGAACTAACGGTGACATCTAGTCATTTCAACTGTAAAATGATGAGACCTAGACGCCAATCTAGTAATGCGCTTAAAATCACAAAGCCCAGCTTACCATAGAGAAATGTTCATTAAAACAAATACCATGAAAGTATTTAAAGAAAAGACACAGGAAAGCTTTGTTTGGCGGTGAGAAAGAGATCGAAGCCGTGATGCCAGGTCAGGGTAAATAATATTGCAGATCACTCTTTGGATTTTATCAAGAATCTCTAAATATATAAGTAAAAGCACTAGACCATATATTCTAAGCATGATTGAATGATAAACTTATAAATATGTAAGATAAATTCTGGTGAAAAAAACTGGCAAGCACGAAATAGTGAAGTAACTTTTTTAGCTGCAGACTTAGCAATTGATTCAATATACTCTTTCCACTTCACGTCAGCTGAAAACGTTAGTTCGAGAAGGTACAATAATTCCCTCTCCTTGAGCTCAGCCTTGCTGAAATAAGGTAAAAGGCTTCCCTCAAATGATAGTTTCGTTTTTGAGGCGTTAAAATTAACAAGTCAAACCTTGCCCCATTTAACAACAGAATGTCATACTACACTTTAATTCGTAAAGTCGAGGTTCCAAAGGTTGTATCTCATCAGAACAATTACTATGAAAATATTTATAGAAAGGAAGCTACGTTACGGCAGTGAGAAAAGGGACTAAAAGTGAAATGAGCACTGAAAACATTGCAGATTCTTCTTTGAATTTTATAAATTATACATAGCAGAAGATCCAGACCTTGTATGACAGAAATATTCTTTGAAAAGACAAATGGTAGGCTTATTAAATTTCAAGATGGATTCTGCCGAGAAAAAAAAAACTGCACGACACAACTTTCTTAATTGCAGTCTTGATTCAATATAATCTTTCCACTACATGTTTGTGGAAACCATGAAGGCTGAATGAATGTCTATTCTGGAAGTTAGCATTAGTCACTGGGATGGAAGATAATTTTTTTTTTCTAAGACGCTTAAAACGGAGCAGTATTTTTTTGGATGCGTTAAAATTCACAAAAAAATGTGGAAATGTTAGAAAATTACCAGTCGATTTTGACTTTACCATAGTTTTGTAACCTAGAAAGGGTTACTGAATGGGAGAATAACCAAAACGGAGGTTGGAAGTGAAACGGAAATCTTTATAACATCAACAAAAAACAATACTCGCCAGCGTCGTAAAGTAGGTAAACCACTGCTAGTGGTCGACTACTTAGTATATTATCCCCTCTTACAATAGGGTCCAACGTATTTTTGAGGGTTGGGGCATACTCAGTCGTGTTTATAGGTACGGTATATAACATATAGTTATTACTGTTATTTTTTCATAATCTCCCGTTTGGACATCCGTACTTAAAAATATCTATACGTTTATACACACATAGAATAAATTCAAAGTTCTTTTAGGGTAAAATATTAGTTCTTGAATAGCAACGAGCTTTGGCATTTATGAATAATAAATAGTCTTAATTTAATAAAAATATCCCTTGACAGCTACAAATCAATACAGAATTTTAAACGATTTAAACGTTTATAAATTATTTTAATTAAAATTTAAAAAATTAAAACAGTAAATTGAAATGTAATAATGTTATAGTCATCGATTTTTTGTAAGACAATAGTGTCGATAATATATCTTATTCATAAAAGCAATGAAAAGTTTTTTTTTCTGATTAAACATGTCTAACTTTTAATGCATTCGTTATTTTAAGATTCAGGTCAGAATTTCTATAATTAGGAATTCTGCTTGACCTAAAGAAATTCATAGTTTAAATTCTCCAAGGCCTTCTCCTTAAAACTAAGAAGCGCTATGAAAATGACTTTCTAGAAATTTCATAAAATTAAATAACAGGCAGTTATGAGATGTAAAAAAAATTATTTTTACAAAGATTTTCGAAAAATAATTAATTTGTGAATAAGTAATGAATGTTTCCTTTAGATCCAAGAATTACCTGATTTTTGCAAGAATTTCAAAATCAGTGTTTTACGCCGCTAAAATATCCTATAATAACTTATGGTATATTATTTAAACCGTAGAAACAAGATTTTTAGCGAAAATTTCGAAAGTTCTAAAAAGGAATAAACAATAATTTTTACATCAGAATATCTCTGGATCGTTTCTCTTACTAATAACATAACGATTTTAACGATAAAAGTTTTTGTTTTCATTAAATTTTAGACATTTATAATAACGTATAAACACAGAAAAGAGAATGCCTAATATCGAGAATATTTAACATCGAAAAACATAAGAAACATTAATCTTTTTAAGAATATGTGGAAATATCTACTCTGCCAGATGAAGGTCGCGAATCCGGAAACCCGTGCAGCAAAAGTATGGAAGATAACGCATAATATATTATAAAAAAATCAACATTACAACCAAAAACTTTTGTTGTCTCTCTCTTCTTTTTAATATAAACACTTTTCTCTTGTTGGAACTACTATAATCTCTTCACTTTTACATATATATATATATATATATATATATATATATATATATATATATATATATATATAAAATATAAATATATAAAATTAGAGGAGGGACGGTGGAGTAACGGATAGCGCTGAGTTCGAATTTCAATCGAATCCATTACATTTACTTACGTGCTAAAACCTTTGGGAAAGGTATGAATCCTCTTCTCCTCCCCGAAGGAGAGACCGGGTACTATAGCCTTGGGTGGAAACTGGTCTACCGCAGAAAGAAAATGGTAACCTACTGCGGAAAAAAATCTGCCTTGTCAGTCATGTATCGAATTGATACATGATCACCTAAGCATGTATCACGCATGGCACATAACTGACTGACTGATCTATAAAAGGAAGGCAAGGTGGATTAATGGATAATAACTCGGAGAGCCGAGTTCGAATTCCAGTCGAATCCATTACGTTCACTTACGTGCTAATACCCTTGGGTAAGGTATGAATCCTTTTTTTCTCCCCACAGCTATGGGTAAATAGCAAGACAGACCGGGTTCTATAGCCTTGGATGGCAACTGGTCCACCACAGTATGAAATGGCAAACTACTGCGTGAAAAAGATCAACCTCGTCAGTCATGCATCGAAAAATACATGATCACCTAAGCGTGTATCACGTATGACACATAACTGACTGACCCTTAGGAAAGGTATGAATCCTCTCCCCCCACGCTAGCTATGGGTAAATAGCAGGACAGACCGCGTTCTATAGCCTTGGATGGCAACTGGTCTACTGCAGAAAGAAATGGCAACCCACTGCGGGAAAAAAATCAGCCTCGTCAGTCATATATCGAAAGATACATGATCGCCTAAGGGTGGATCACACATGGCACATAAGTGACTGATCTATAAACAAAAACAAAATGTTGTTAGTTACTGGAAGAATTTAGAAACGCTCATATATATTCATTCGGTCAACTGAAAAATTACGTTATCTACTTCTTATAGTTGAAGGAAATTTTCATACGTAGAAATATTTTTTGATTTATTGTGAAGACGGATTTAATCGTTTTCTTTTGATTTCTTGATATTATTTGTTGTGTATGTTGGCTTGGGAGATCAGTGATTCTATGAAGAAAGGTGAGATTGTCATTGACGATGACAACGTCTACTAAAAAGTAAACGGAAAAAATAACTACAAACGAAGCACAAAAATACATACGCGATATCAAAAGGCTACTAAAAAAAATGAATACGCCTCTTGTTTAAACTTTATTGAACACCAC